GGGGGGGGGGGGGGGGGGGGGGGGGGGGGGGGGGGGGGGGGGGGGGGGGAGTATGTGGAATTTTCTGCTGTGTTGATTCAGCTTGCTGCGATGGCGCATGCGGGTGCGCGGAGAAGTTGGCTCGGCGACGATCTTTGTCAGGGCCGAATTAGACTCCCTTTTTCCTAAGAGTAGCTCGCCCCGGGTACTTGGCATTCCAGCGGTAAAACCCTACCCTCCCGCTCCTCCTCTCCCAAACCCTCAACATTCCCGAAATCAACGCGACTTGGGATCAAGTTTATCCTGCTGCATGCGCACACCCGAGCTTTGCATGCCGGCAGCGCTTGTGACGCTGCTTTCACCGTACGAGAGCTGTTGCTTTATTATGTATTGTGTGGAGCATTGTTCATGATGGCGAAACTGAGGTCGCCTTTTTTTTCCATCTATCGATTCATCAACGCACCCAGTGCTTGTGTATCCACGAGCCACTCTGATATAGAAAAAAACTTCACGATATGCATCCACCCGAGTTTCTCTGCTTCTCAACACGACGCCCCTCTCCGTCTGCATCAGATCAGACTCGGTGTCCACAGACCAAAGACCCGCATGCGTATCCATCGCAAGAAGCAACCAACACCTCTTGTCCTTTTTTACCCTTCTTGTTCGTCTTTGCGTTGTTTTTTTCAGGTGTACAACCCCCGCATCCGCGTGGAGTCTCTGCTGGTCAGCCCCATCTCGAGGGCAAGCGCTCAGCAGCGCAGCGGTCGTGCGGGTCGTACCCGTCCCGGGAAGTGCTTCCGGCTCTACACGGAACAGTCGTTCAAGGAGGAGCTGCTGGAGCAGACGTACCCGGAGATACTCCGGTCGAAGATGAGCAATACGGTACGAGGAGCTATATCTCGTTCTTCCATGATTTGTGTGTATGTGTGTGCGCGTGCGTGTTTTGTTCTTGTTTTGTTTGTAAATGTATACGCAACGTTTGTCTTGTTTTTTTTCAGTTCTTGGTGCGTGTCTCTGATGTCTTTCTTGAGGGTGGCCAGGTGCCGGTGGGGCGGCGGCGATGACGTCCAGCAGGTTGCCGAAGCCACGTTCACGGATGGCCTCGGTGATCCGGTACACCTTCTCCGCGTACGTGAGAAGAGGCCCGGCTGCAGCGGTCGAGGAAGCCGCAGGGATATCCGACGCGTGGTCAATGGCGCCGGGAGAAGCCCACGAGCCAGGCATGCTTCTAGCAGAGGCAGAGGCAGGAGCGACAGAGAGGACGGCGGCAGGGGGCAGAACACGAGGGGGCTGCACGCTACCGGCAAATCGCGGACTAGGACGCACAGCTACTCCATTAGCTTCCTCCTGCTTTTCAGTGACCCCAACATTGCGCTGGTTGACGTGATGGTGGGGTCACTGAGAATCAGTAGGAACCTGATGGGAGTAGCTGTGCGTCCTAGTCCGCGTCTTGCCGGTAGCGTGCAGCCCCCTCGTCTTGTGCCCCATCCCGCCGCCCTCTCTCTCGCTCCTACCTCTGCCTCTGCTTGAACCATGCCTGGCTTGTCGACTCCTCCCGGCGCCATGGACTACGCGTTGAGTCTCCCTGCGGCTTCCTCGACTGCTGCAGCCGGACCTGTTCCCTATTCACTAAGGCGGAGCAGGTGCACCGGATCACCGAGGCCGTCCGTGAACATGGCTTCGGCAACCTGCTGGACGCCATCGCCGCCGCCCCTCCCGCGCTTGGCAACCCGGAGCTGCCGGGCGCCGATGGGGCCGCGTCTCCTCCCGACGCGGCGGCGGCTGCTGCTGATACGATGGCCTTCCCCTGCACCATGGGGGCGCTCCTTTCTGAAATGCTCGCTATTTTCGATTCAAGTGTGCGACATTTTTTTTTTTTTCGCTTGCCGATGCCGTATGCCTCCTCTAAAACACTTGCTGACCTCGCTCGATGTTCTTTATTCTTTTCATTCGATGGTTATGTTGTCGCCTCCTTCTAATGGTGTCGTTGACACTGTTTGCTTGTAGTTCGACACGCGCTGACCAATTCGATGTTTTTTTTATTTTCATGCTAGGTGCTGACCTTGCTCAAGCTCGGGGTGGAAGATTTGGTTCACTTCGACTTCATGGACCCCCCGGCCCCCGAGACGCTCATGCGAGCACTGGAACTCCTCAACTACTTAGGTGCTCTCGACGACGAGGGCTCGCTGACGGTGAGAGAAACGAAAGAGGGTGGGGGTTGGGAGGGTAATGACTGGGTCTCTCGAGTTTGTGGTTGCTGTGGTTGTTGTTGTTCAAGGTTGCTATATGTGACGGCCCGATTCGAACGAACAGGGGTTCGCTGGTTTCCCTCTTGATGCCCCCGTTCTCCGCATCATCACTCACCGGATCTAGCCGCGGCGCGAAGGTCCACTATTTTCGCATCTCGAGAGACGCCAGCAACTGGCCGGTTCTCTTCGTTTCTTGGGTGCAGGCCACGGGTTCGAAAAGCCTTACACTTGTCTCACAACGATGAGACGTGTTCTCAAAGCCTTAACAAGTCACCCAGCGGTATGACGTGTTCTCAAAGCATTGACAGGTAGGTCATACCGCGATATGATGTGTTCGCGAAGCATGAACAAGTTACGCGATGTGACGTGTTCTCAAACCGTTCACAAAATGACACAACACTATCGTGATATATGATCGCCTTTCTTTGCGTTGCAGGACCTCGGCAACAAAATGAGCGAGCTCCCGCTCGACCCCCAGCTGGCCAAGGTGCTTCTGGCATCTCCGGACTACGGCTGCTCGAACGAGGTCCTGTCGATCGTCGCGATGCTCTCCGTGCCACAGGTGAACGGACGAGACCGTCGAAATACGGCATAATTGTCGACATAGCGACGTAATCGTCGGAATGCGGCGGAATTTTAGAAACGCGGCTAAACGCGGCGGAAGTATCGGAACGCGGCGGAACTTTGGTGTTGCGGTTCGGCTCGGATGTACGGTATGGTTTGCCTCTACTGCTGTGGCGCGGTCTGGTGTAGCTTTGCAGCTCTCGATGCAATGCATCATGGCGAGGAGTGACCCATCCCCCCCACTGATCACGATACTGTTGCGTCGAAACCAGATGATGAGAACGACCTGCAAATAAACCTGGCATAACTGAGGCAGAATTACGTACACTCTCACCCCCTAACGCCCTACGGCGTGGAGCGTCCCCAAAACGGAGAAACAAGTCGGAGTAGCCAAAAACGATACACACAAATGAAAAACAGTTTTGCGCTTGTCTTTTCAGGTCGTGAGCGGTGGACTGTTCGGGGAGCCGTTGGTCTGTTTTCCACCTGTTCAGAGCAGCTTTCGACCGCTTCTCACCTAAACAGATCGACTGAAAAGTGATTTCTGATTGTTTCTTGCAAATATTGTCTTCCTTTTCTGTTTTTTTTTGCCCCTCCCTACAATAGGTGTTCATGAGGCCAAAGGAGGCACAGAAAGCGGCTGACGAGGCTAAGGCGGAGTTCGCGCACATCGACGGTGACCACCTGACTCTCCTCAACGCCTACCACGCCTACAAGCAAAACGGGGGCTCCAAAGACTGGTGCTTTTCCAACTTCATCAACTCTAGGTATGGGCGTGGCGGGCGTGGCGGGGGGGACATCGCCAAATTGTTTCACGAACAACGTCTGCCTACGGTTCAGATGTGTTTTGTTGTTGTTGAAGTTGTCGTTGCTGCTGTAACCTTCGTACGGGGGCTCAAAGGATTGACGCTTTTCCGATTTCATGAACTCTAGGTGCCGGTGGAGCGGGGGAGACAGGGATAAGTCTCTCACGAATGCGTCCGCATGACGGTTCCGATATGTCGTTGTCGTTGTTGTTGTTGTTGTTTGTAATGTGCGTACATTGGACTTGCAATATTTCCTCGACATACGTTTTTGTCGGTAGACACGGATGTACGTGTACTGGCACTGGTACCAGTTTTTTTTTGGCAAGTTGCATCGATTCAATTGCGACAGTGATTCACGACCCACACGTCTTGTCTCGTCGCGCTTGCGCCAGGTCGATGGTGTCAGCGGAGAACGTCCGGGAGCAGCTTGGCAGGTTGATGGGTAGGCTAGAGCTGCGCATGGTGTCGACCGAGTTCACAGCTCGAGACTACTACACCAACATCAAGAAGGCCCTGACGGCTGGGATGTTTATGCAGGTATGGCGGGCTACTGCTTGAGAACTTGGCAATTGAAAGCAATTCAGGGCTTGATTCTAAGTTGTAGTACTCCTATTTTGGAACCCGGAACATTGTCTTCACCGTATCCTGTTCGGCAACAACAGCTGTTCAGCCCAAGGAAGGAAGAAGGAGTTAGTTGTATAGACTAGTGTTTGCCTGAGGTCAAAGACACACACGCCGCTGTTGCTGGGGTTCCCTCTCTCGGGTTCACCATTTCCATCGCTGGATGTGTCTTGTTGCTGTGATGTTCTTCTGGTAGAAGTATGTCATATACGTATTTTGCAAGTTTCCTTCTGATGTTTGTGTTTTTTCCCAGATATTTGGGATTGACCTCTTCCTTCCCAAAAGGCTTGGAATGTAACGTTGATTCTCTTCGCCACTCGCGCTCTCCTTTCTCCCCCTCGTAAACAATAGGTGGCGCACTTGGAGAGATCGGGTCACTACTTGACTGTGAAGGATAACCAGGTCGTGTCCATCCACCCTTCTTCTGTGCTGGACAACAAGCCGGTATGGTGCATGTTCGAGGAGTTCGTGCTCACGTCAAAGAACTACATCCGCACGGTGACGGGGGTCCAGGTGCGTTGCTGCTGCTGTTCTTGTTGGTTGTTGTTGTCGCCGCATGCACATGCGGGTAGATGTTTTGGCCGATCACCGTGCACGGCGTGGTCCTAGACAGACACGACACTCTTGTTTTGCGCAACTCTCGCCTCCTTGTGTGTGATGAGTCGGGAAACTAACAAAGAAAAAAAATGGTGTTGGTGTTCGGATGTAGAAGGTACGGTTTTTGTTGTGAAGAAAACAACGAGGGTGAGCAAGGCTGAAGTTCTGAAAGCTTTGTGCAAATCGAACCCTACCGTTCACAACTACTGTATTGCTATTTTTTATTGTAGTTGCGCGTGCTGTTCTCAGGTCAGGGCTCACGGGTCCAAGACCCAAAACACCCTTGTCCCATGAGTTTCTCGAATGAATTTCACACCACCTATCAAGGCAACCAACCCCTGGCGGCTTTTTCCGGTTCGCGTCCCTCACCCCGCCATCGCCTCCTTCCGTGTCCCTACACACGCACGCACGCACGCACGCACACCCCGCCCCCACTGCCAGGCGGATTGGCTCGTAGAAATCGCGCCGCACTATTTTGACCTCGAGAATTTTCCCGAGTGTGAGGCCAAGCACGACCTGGAGGCCGTCTACCGGCGGAAGGATAAGAGCCAGCAACGGCCCAAGTAAGCTGCTGCTGGTAAGGCGGAGGAGGGATTGGAACCTGGGTTGTTGCCAAAAGGAGTCCGGCAATTATTCACTTGTGGCCAGTTTTTGTGCACTCTTTGAGGGAGGGTGTGAGGAAGCGTTTTTCCGGAGGGTGAGCTTCTGGTGCTGCTGGTGCTGCTTGTGTTTCCAGTGCTATGCATAGCGATCGCCATTAGTTGTAGACGACCGTCAAATATCGAGGCGGTTCAATTTTTTTTTCTCAAGGCTTGGCTTGGGGATGACTTCTTGTCTCGTCCTTGCTTTGCATGGGATGAGACAGTGTGCCGGCCGGAGAGGAAACAGGAGGACGGGAATTAATGAACATGTTGCTGAAACCCCTCATTGTGGCGCCCACTCATCACACCCCAGATCACGGACGTGCGGGGTGTTGGATGTCGTTGGTAGAAGGGCGTGGAAGCAACAGAACCCATGGACAGAAGCCGCTGACACGGGAAGATACTCCGTGTGCTGGAGTTGGGGCGAGCGATGTGCGGATTGGGTTCGAAAGCGGGGATAGCGCTGGAGCAGCACAGCGCAGAAAAGTCGTGGGATAGCTTTTGTGGGTGTATTTGGAGGTTGCTTGCGAGGCTGCGAAAAGGTACCTGGTGGGGAGTATGGCAGCCACGGCGTTTGCCTCACTGATACACAAGTATTATATGTTTCCGAAGGGCTCGCTGCGACAGCTGTCGTCTTGCATGGAGACATGCCCACCGCCCGTTAGTTTTTCTGGCATATTCCGTCATTATTGGAGTGAATGAAGCCTACATGTGTTCCGGTCCGGACTCGTAGCCGTGATGAACCGTGCGCACGGGCGTGAATTCAAGAGCAGTGCGGTGTAAAGGTAAAGTCTGTGTGCCACCTGTGAAATTCTTTTTGCCTCAATAGGTTTTCTGGTCGTTCTATCGCGTCTGTTTCAGCGTTCGGCGTGAATGAAGCCTTTCTATAATCCGGCCCGGGCTCGTACCCTTTGATGGTGAGCCATGCGCAATGTTATGAATTTCATCCAGCTGCCAAAGGAATATGGTGTGCCTCGTAATCTCAGTTGAACTCGCGTTTCTGGCGAGGCTCTGGAAACGAGCTGGCAAGCGTAGTTTCAACAGCGCAACTAATCCCTCTTCAACTCCTGCCGCTGCGATTGTTAGAAAAACGGGAGGAAAAAAACTGAGACTCAGTTTGAAACCTCTGTCGAGCGTCGGGCAGCGGTCGTTATTTGCGCTACTCATTGTTTCTACCTAGAGATTGGGGAGACATGCGTAAGGACAAAAGCACACGCAGCGCTCTTTGTACACATTCGTCGAACATGCCGTGTCGGCAGACCGGAGGATATCCAAAGGAAAGAGATCAATCTCAGCGTTTCACACGGCACATGAACGGGCTCACTTTTCACTCACACATACGATCCCTCCATGAAGATGCGCCCACGAATGCAGCCAGGCCTCGGCTGCGGTGTCGCTCTCACACCCCCCAACACAACTTTCTACAGTAAAACATCCCCAACATGAGAAAACAAACGCGATCACTTCACTTCACTCCATCTGCAGTGCACAAAACGACTCGACCAAGCTTCACTTCACTCGGAAATTGGACACGAACCAGTCAGTTCGCTCTACCTGCTGATACAGAAAATACACACTTCACGGGACTCTTCGAGTAAGCCGTGCTGCGACACTGCTTAGGCCCCTCATCAATACAACGCCGGCAGAGGGTGCACCCCATTCTTTGAGCTACACCACGATGCATCGGTTTGTAATGTCCAGGCAACAACGGCAACGACGGGTGACCTTGAGACGTAGCCTGCTGGAAGTACCCGTGGGGACACTCATAATTTGCTCACTGTGCAACCTTTCGCGGACCCGTCAGGTATAAGAGCGCCCTTTGTTTGGGGGTTGAAACTGTACGAGCTATCAGTCAACAAAGCAAGAATCTGTCTCCTTACTTCTTGCCGAAACTGTTCACCCCCGGTCGTACCACGTAAGTAGCCACCTCGCTCACTTGCAGCTTTGTCATCTGCCTCGTTTTTTCAAGCTCCCTCGTAGCACCGCTCGTTTCCCGGCAACAGCACGCAATGAGGCAGTAGTAGCACTCCATCATACAGAGGTAGGACCCCAGGAGGCAGTTGGCCAAACCACCACGCGCGTGCCCCACCTTCCGGCAGCACACACAGCAACCTGCGTCTGGTAAACGGTTGTACATCCGGGAGCAATGGAGAGAGGGGACGTGCACAAATACTCATGAACAAAGATCTACGGTAGTCTACAGTGTAGACTATATGCGTAGTCTACGGCTGCAGTTCGGGCTAAACCCTACTACTACCGGTGCTTGCCGACCACGAATGAACGTCGTGGAACAAGCCATGAAGGGTATTGCAGTATTGTCTGCACGAGAGTAGCGAAAGGCGTCACGTCAATGCTGTCATACTCCGTGCCACAAGGGGCAACAAGAACACGCAGCGAAATTTCATGAAATTTCATGTCGAGACAAGAACATCAACTAAATGGAAAGTGCCAACGAGTGCTCCTTACCTCCGGTCTCGGCGCCTTCTGCGGGAGGAACACCACCGAAAAACCTATGCAGTGTTGGGGTAGGGTGTGAGATGAGACAACAACGAACACAAGAACGATCGCGGGTGAGATGTTTGTATATCTCCTTTTTGTCTGTGTGCCCGCAACACGGGGGAAGTATCAGTCGTTGTTGCTGTTGTTCTCGATGTTCGTGTTATACGGTACAGTACACTCCGCCATTTACACAGGTCGAAGGTTGGAGTACACCTCACACGCAGGGGGAGACGTGTTCTCATGCACGGAGTCACGCGCCGCTCCTGAGAAAATAACCGTAATCAGGTCTCGTTCAACAATCGCAATTTGGCCATCGCTTTATGAAGAATCGCGACTACTTGCCACGAAGGTCTACACGGAAACCCAGCAACAAAAAGAACCATCGACAACAGACTTTTGTACATACAGGTTGAAGACAGACAAAGTCTGTCGAGGCCCTGCATGCCGTCCCGCAACACGATCGTCATCACCAAGACGATAATAAACGCGTGTGCACTGGGGCATCCATTCTCTTGACCATCTACTGTGGATATACCCACGAGAAGGTATTTCATAGGAAACATCCCAACTACCAGACAAGACTGCCAAAGTCCACTAAGGCGGGAGCGTACCGTCTGTGGCGGGATCTCCTGGCACCCAGGCTGGCACAGAATGAGCGTTGCACTGACGTGTGCTATCACTCATATCTCTTCGATCTTCTCCGGACCTTCTAGAAGGTGACGGCGGTGCGAGTGGAACCACCAGAAAGCACAAATAGTCTGGCTGCAATTCTTCATCCATTGAGAGCCCAATCGCATATGGATGAGACGATCATTCTGTGTAGTCTACAAATGTGATGGATATCGCCGACGTATTTTTTATGCATACGGCGTGACAAAACGGCGATAGGATGAAGAAGCATAGTATCTAGGCTTCCATCAGGCGCATCGCTGCAGGAGTTGGTCGCAAACAACGTGACGGGCGTGGGGGGGTGCAGGTTTTCCTCGTGTCGCAACCAGCCCTGCGCTTTGTTGGAGCACTGCCGATGCAGCAACTTGGTGGTGGTGATGGTGTAGCGTGACAAATCATATATCCTCTTTAGCCCCCGGACAAAAGCATACCACACATGCCCTACGGCGTTTTGGCCCTGCTCGTAGAATCCTGTTGGATCAGCACGAAGGGTTTCATCATCAGGAGTGCCCACGCACTGCACCCTGCAACAGAACGAACGCATAACTGGGGAGCAACGACGGGCGGCCGTCTCCAGAAACATTTTACACATGCTACAGTATCTGCAGCGATATCTTCCAACCTATCTGCAGCCGACTCCTTGCTTGACTTGCGTCCTCCGGATCACGCCGATGAGACGAGGTGAGCGATAGGGGGATGTAAGTACGGTCGGTTCACTTGGGCAGATTGGTGCCGCTGATCTTGGGGTGCTGTGAGTGTGGGAGAGAGGGGAAGGTATTCGTCGAACGGGGCTGTTGGGTAGTGCGTGGTCGGCGACATTTAGTCTATACACCGTGAACTCTTTTTTCCAAGAATGTCTCCACCATGCTCGTTCGAGACGTCATGCCGCCTTCGGGCCATTACGCGATGACCTCGCGGGTATCCATGTGTCCATTTTTGGGCTGAAGCGACACAGCCCAGAACCTACAAAAGTAGTGGGTTAGGTTTTGCGCTTACGAAGAGGTGTTGTGTGTTTGGCAACTGCGGCCCGTTTGCTACATGAGGCCATGAGCAACACGGTACCCCCTTGGGATAGACTACTGGCAACCACGGATCTGCTTAACTGTGCATGCGTGGTATTTATCCTCAAGCGCTTTCTGCGACAGCTGTTGCTTTGCTTCGAAATATTCATCCCCCGCGAATGACCCTCATGTCCTATGGGCTTGACTCGTTATTCTGGCTTGGTCTGCGTGCGTGTACGTGTAGAACCATTTCAAAAGTAGCCTGCCTGTGTTTCGGTCCGGGTTTCTACTGTTGGATGAGCCATGCGCCAGGGTGTGAATTTGCGAGCATGACTGCCGGAAGAAACATCGTATCTGCCGCCTGCGACATTCTTCATACCTCGATTTGTGCTTCTGCCTTGCTATGGAAGCGTCTATGATGCAATTGCGACCTGTTGTCTTGTGGCGTGAGTGAAGCCTGTTCGGACTCGTAACCTTCGGTGAGCAATGCGCATGGGTATTCATTTCAGAGCAGGGTGGCGGAAAGGAATACCATCATGTGCCTGGTAGTCAGTGGAACTAGCGTGGCTGGGGTGACTCTGAAAACAAGGGGGTTGTGCGTATTGTCATAAGCGCAATGTGGTCGCTTTGTCATAATCCCACAGCAGCGATTGCTCCATTCATTACAGGAAAATATGAATAAACACGATTTTATCCCGCTAGTTCCGCTACTGAGCAGCACCATGATTTCAACCCAGAGATCGAGGATACTGGAAGACAAGAGGAAGCTAGTGTGAGGATCCTGGGCTTGGAAGCCTTCTTTGCAGACCGGAGGCCACCCAAACGAAAGAAAATAACTTGGTCTTCTCACATCACGATCGACCCCACTTTTCACTCTTTCAGCCACTCTGGACGATACGTCAATACGTCAAAACCCACCAGCGTACCCCCATTGACCACTGCAACAGACGCCGACACGAGCACACCAAAGCCTTGGCGGCGACAACACCATTCACCCCAACCATGCTCCATTTTGATTTCGTGCTGGAGGGGGTTGAGGAGGGTGGTAGTCATGTTTTACACGCCCTAGCGACTAGACCATTCTGGGGGGCTGATAACACAGACGAAGACCACTTTCGTTCCCCTTGAGACACCAACGACTTTTCATACCAAACAGATGACATCACTAATCATCGCCCTCCCACACAACACATTACGTTGAGTTCATTGTAGAATAATGGATGCGAAGTACCACATCCGCAACGGTGCCCCTCGTATGTCCTTCTGGTACTACTTCTACCAATTAAAACACCATGAACTTCATTACTTGTGCTGCCTCTCCAACGCTCTTCACGAACAAGCGACAAAACGATATTCAAGCCGATAATCCAGGTGGTATTGTTCAGGTGTAGAACGTATGACCCCAAGCAACGAGGAGCAGCCAGTACTGCTGTGTTTTGAAAACACCTTTATGTTGCACGGTATATGCACTTCTACGCCTGCCCGGCGGTAAGAGGCAAGCAGAACAGAACCACAACCCCGCCGCCGCTGCGTGGTGCTCTCTACACATAGCACACCAGAGGCACCCATCGACACAGAATAACCCGCAAAAATGACAACCTCCTCAACATTGTCCGCATCTCTCAAGATCGAAATAGACGGTAAATTCGGCTGGTACCGGTGGAAGACAAAACACGCTACTGTAGCACGGTGCCAACAAAAAGCAACCTTTGGTGAATGACCAATCACGCATGAGGCCAAAAGCATATCAAGCGTCTCATACTCTCGTTATCATAGCAGCATCCTTCCTTTGCTCTCAGGAGGCCGGCATGTCGCCGAATGGGATAGACACGCCGGTGACGTAGTGACTGGGCCCGCAGCGGCGGTACTTGTGCTCCCTCTGCCCTCCCTCGCGCCAAAGCAGTTCTACCTCGCTCGTGAACGCCGCCTGAACTTGCAGCGGCCCTCCCCGAGCCTAGACGACCCCGTGCTCGAACGATCCCAGCCGCCCGTGAACCTCGTCCTCCTTGCCGCCCGATACGTTGGTCTCGCCCGAGAAGGACAAGGAGGGCCTGCTGCGTTCCGAGGCGGACTCGAAGAGGACGGTACCCGGGTCGCGCACGCGCGGGAGTGTCACGTCGGGAGGCTTCCCACCGGCCCAGCCGCGGATGCCCGAGGTGAAACGGCCCCGGGAGCCAAGGCGCTCCGTAGGGCGGATGGCAGTGGGCCACGGCGGAGAGATCCTGCTTGTGGACGGTGGGCACGAAGAGCAACTTGCCGTGATCAACGTCGGCCTCGATCGTATCATCGCGAGGCTTGCCACCGACCCAACGACGTCCTCCCGGCGTGAAGCGGCCCCGGGTTCCGAGGCGCTCCGTGGGGCGGATGGCGTAAGTGCGGGCCTCGGCGGAGAGGTCCGGCTTGCGCACGGCGGACATTGCCGTGGTCGACCTCGGCCTCACGCGGTACGCCGCGAGCATGGCCACCGGACATGATACGCACCCCGAGAGTGAAGGAGCCCCTGGTACCGAAGCGCCCGTCAGGACGACCGCCAGCGACGTTGAAGGTGGGCAGGCCGGAGAGGTCAGGCTTGTACACGGAGGTCATGGCGTTCTTGTTGTTGATCGTTGTGGTTGGGACGAAGCCTGAATTGCAGTGAAGCAGCGGGTTGAGACATCGCGGGCGGGGGAAGGACAGCAACATTGTGAGATGCCCGCTCGCATTGATCGTATAGGGGTGATGAGCTTAGTGCGACGTGACGTCGAGAATCACTTACACCTGTCGCTTGTTTCCCTGAAAAACCTTTGTTAGACGTACTCACAGCATCGACAGATTATTGCAAGCAAGAAATTTCCGAGCAGATGGAGCGGGGAGTTTAGGGGTTCAGCAGTTGCTTTGGATTCGATTTGATGGTACCAAGTTTGCCGTATGTTACAGCATTGAGGGTGGGGGTATGTGTGTGTCTACAACGGATATGATGATTGTGTGACGTGGCTTCTCACTTGTTTTTCTTTCCTCCATTTCCTCCTTCCAGTGTGCAGTCAAGTCCTTTTCCCCCGGCTATTACGCTACCACGGCTATCACGCCACGACTTCCACGCCAATCCTGGCTGTCACGCCATCCGGCTATCACGCCTTCCGGACATCCACGTCCTTACTTATACCTTTACACCACGACTATCACGTCAACAGGCTTCCACGCCACATCCAGAGATACCATATCCGAGCTATCACGCTCCATCCCAAAGTAGAAGGCTGTCACGCCCATCATAGTTCCTAGACTGTACCGTTGGCGGCTACCGCGCCGCTTGCTTTTTTATTTTCCAACCACGGGACCCCGCGCGCCAAGGCACCGACGCACAAAGCTACTCAACACGCTAGCGTAGCGATCAAGAGAGTGGCCGCCGTGTCTAAGCGCGCAACATGCCGGACGGAGACGGACGACAACCTCCGGGGGGATCAGGTCAGGCTGTCCCTCCCGCCGGGGAAGGCGTCGCGGACGGAGCAGGGAGCGATTCTTTCTTCGCCAACGATGCACAAGACCGAGGGGGTGCGCGAGCGGCAGGAGGGGAAGATCAGCGCGACACGATGCGTGAGCTGGTTGATCGCTTCAAGCAGGCCTTCGCGACATCAACTCATGACCAGGGGCACCGTGCCCACTCAGGCACGTCTAGCAACCAGATCTTAGAACTGAGGCAGAGAGAAAAGATAGATGTACCATCATGGAGTGATGACTATCTGATTAACAGATCGATCGAAGTTGCATTGAGAGTGTTCACGAGTGCTTTTGAAGCGTGGCTGGAGAGTGAGGGACTTGCTGGTGTGATGAGGAGTTCAGAGGTGCCTGTTGGTGCAGCTGGTGTGGATTTGAACTGGTTAAGCAGCACCTTCGGAGAGGAGAGAGTGAAACAATCCAGGAAGACTTGGACGTTTATGCTTGCTAAGAACACAGCACAACCCGTACAAGCCCAAATCTTTGCATCAGAATCACCTCAAGCAGGGAACCGCGTGTTTCTCGAACAATACAGCCAAGACAAGAGCCAGGAGCGACAAGCTCTTGACGACGCATGGAACGTAATAGGCCAGAGGCAAGGAGAGAGTCTTATGGACTATTGCGGTAGGGCAGTTGCGCTGTGGATGAGACTTGGATCGTATGGTGATAACAGGGATGAAAAGTCGATGTGCAGACACATAGTCCGGGGATTTCTCCCAAGGTATGAGGAAACTAAAGACCGTCTTCTGTTTGATTCGATGTTGTCGAGGGCTACAATGCAGGAGATGCTGAGGTTGGAAGAGCACGAGCTGAGGTATGAGCGGAGAGCTGGAGAGGGAAAGGAAGAGATGAGGCACGCCCTCGTCGCTGCCGGCGTGGGCCGGGGCGGCGAGGCGGGGAAACCAGCCGCTGCAGGATCGGAGCAAGGCGGACATCGACTACATCAACCTCAGAGGTCGGCGCAGCCACATCAGCAACAACCATCGAACTTCTGCCAGCTCCACGGCCCCAACAGCACCCACGAGACCTCCGAATGTCACAAGTTACGCAACAAATTCCTCGCCCACTACAACGAGTTCTGCGCGTACATGAGCGGGAGGCGGGAGGCCCAGGGATAGGTCTTCTNGAGGCGGGGAAACCAGCCGCTGCAGGATCGGAGCAAGGCGGACATCGACTACATCAACCTCAGAGGTCGGCGCAGCCACATCAGCAACAACCATCGAACTTCTGCCAGCTCCACGGCCCCAACAGCACCCACGAGACCTCCGAATGTCACAAGTTACGCAACAAATTCCTCGCCCACTACAACGAGTTCTGCGCGTACATGAGCGGGAGGCGGGAGGCCCAGGGATAGGTCTTCTCTCGAGGCGGAGCTCAAGACTCGGGGCGGATGGTTGGTGGCCCATCTCGACAGCAGCCGTACCAAAACGAACAAGGTGCTGACTGGAGTCGGGGCCACTCTCCAGCGCTGCCGGGACCGCCGCGTGAGCCAGGATCCGGAGCTGGAGGACAACTGCAGGGGCGCAACTCTGGGGGGCGTGGGTATGGTGGATACGGTCCTTACCCCCCGGAGAGCCGAGGTCGTCAGGTGGGCGGCCGTGGTGGTAATTATCCGCCGCCCAATGTTCCTCCCGCGCAGATTGCCAACGTACCGCGGCCCTATTTTCCGGCTCATTTCGCCATCGGAGGCGGAGAACCATCAGGCGGCGACATCACCTCGGGATAGGAGGCCACGTTGGCGCCCGGATCTACACCCAGCTGGACCCCACCACCTCCTGAGGCAGGCTACGGGTACGGGCTCGCGGCTCACGGAGTGGACCATGGCGGAGGTCCCTACGGCAGCGCCGCCGGCGGGGGATACGGTTTCCACCAATTCCCCGACGGCGGAGGGCTCTACCAGCAGCAAGAAGTGAGCAATGTACCACACTATCCTTCTGCTGCTGGACCGGACGCCCAACAACCGCGAGCCTACGAGGCCTTCGACACCTCGCAGCAGCATCAGCAGCAGCACTACGGTGCACCCCAGGCGACCTCGTCCTCCTCCTCTCCCTCTCCAGCTCCAGGCGACGCTCTACCTCCAGCCGGCGATTCCCCTCTGCGTCTCTTCATGGCACGTGGCGTGTGCCCTCGAGGCAAGTCTGAGATTGATTTTGAGAAGGATGTTGGTTTTTCGATGTCGGACGTGTTCACGAGTGCGGAGCCTGATGCGTCAATGCCTGGTGTTCCCCGCGTGCCTGCTGTGCATGAACGTTTTGATGATGAGTTGGGTGTCTCGAAGTTTGGTGTGTCTTNCGAGGCAAGTCTGAGATTGATTTTGAGAAGGATGTTGGTTTTTCGATGTCGGACGTGTTCACGAGTGCGGAGCCTGATGCGTCAATGCCTGGTGTTCCCCGCGTGCCTGCTGTGCATGAACGTTTTGATGATGAGTTGGGTGTCTCGAAGTTTGGTGTGTCTTCTCATGATGTACCCCGCGTGCCCGCTGTACTTGAGAGTCCTGATGAAGTGGTCGGCGTTTCGGAGTGTGATTCATCTATCCCTGCTGTACCAAGTGTGCCTGGAAAGGTATACGTAGCCCGTCTCACCCGCCGCCCCACGGTTGGAAAAGCTGTCATGTGCCTACCCTCCATTCCGAATACGATTGGTAGCGAACAATGGCAGGCCGATTCTGGAGCTAGTGCAATGATTTCGAACAAAGTGGATGAAATGTACAATGTACGCCACTTGGACCCGGATGAACAATTCATACAGGTTGGAGACTCGGCTCTCATCAAGGTTGCCGCTGTAGTGAGTTTGGACCTTAGGTTCCACCAAATCGGAGCCAACGGGAAAGGAGGATTTGGACGTCACTGTGACAGAAGTTTTGTTTGTACCCGGGTGTGGTTCCAACCTTTTCTCGGTATGGAAGGTGTCTCACAAGCATGAGGTCCGTATCAACCCCAACGGCACGCATATGATGCACGGAAAACTGCGTTTTATTCGTGACGTTTCAAGCGATTCCCTTTTTGCAACCCGCCTCCCCCACAAATCCCTGCTTTCTATGGACGTTGCGAATGAGAGTGCCCGTGAGAGTTCTTTTTCCCTTGTGGCATCGGCTCTTACAGCCGCGATGGATTCCGATCTAGAACCCCCCCGCGTGACGGATGCTGTCNTGGAAGGTGTCTCACAAGCATGAGGTCCGTATCAACCCCAACGGCACGCATATGATGCACGGAAAACTGCGTTTTATTCGTGACGTTTCAAGCGATTCCCTTTTTGCAACCCGCCTCCCCCACAAATCCCTGCTTTCTATGGACGTTGCGAATGAGAGTGCCCGTGAGAGTTCTTTTTCCCTTGTGGCATCGGCTCTTACAGCCGCGATGGATTCCGATCTAGAACCCCCCCGCGTGACGGATGCTGTCGCGGAATACTCGGCGAAGATGATTGATGTGTGGGAGAGTGAAGAGTGTGAACGCGCCACGGCTGTGTTGGGTCCGGGGAAGACACCTTTCAACGTCGGCAATGCGCAAAAGGTTATGGATGTTAACACGTTCCACAACCGTGCCGGCCACTTGTCCGAACCCATTTTGAGACTGTCCGCGAAGCAGCACGGGATTACCCTCACGGGCACGATGGACAGCTGCCGCCGATGGTGCTTGCCGGCGCGTGGGACGAGGGCGCCGGTGCCGAAGCAGGGGGGCGGGTACCGCGGCAAGAGGGCGCCGAGCGACGTGTTCCGCATCGACCTCTGCGGCGCGTACACGGCGACGATCGGTGGCAACCACTATATGCTCCTCGGTGTGGACGCCGCCACGGGATGGATGGTCTGCTACGCCATGCGGCGTAAGTCGGAGGCGCTAGCGGTCGTCAAGCGCATGGTCGTGGATGCCGCCCACAAGGCTGGTACCGCGATCAAGTGCATCCGCTGCGACTGCGATGCCCTCTGGACCAGCAGCGACTTCAACGAGTTTTGTGCCAGCATGGAGATCGCGCTCGAGTACTCCCCTCCCGGCGTGCAGCAGTACAACGGCGTCGTCGAGAGCGCCATCCAGAGGTGCCTCAAGGTGGCCAAGGCATCCCGCCGGGCCGCCCAGGAGCTGCTTGGCCCCGCAGGATTTTCTCGTGTCCGCGGTCTGAGTGTTCGTGGCGATGAGCTCTGGGCGGAGTCCGCAAAAGATGCCGCGCAGAAGTCAGCATATCCTTCCAACCCCGGGGGTGCGTCGCCGCAGGAACTCTACACCGGCAAGGGAGGCCCTTCCCGCTTGAACCCGTTCTTTCAGTACGGTTTCATGTGGGAGCGGCTGGCGAAAAATATGGACGGCAGGGCCGTGCCGTGTTTTTTCCTCAACGCCGGGGCCAACCACGCCGACGTCACGGTTAAGGTGCTCAAGGAGAGGACCGGCCACGTGTGCTATACCTCCAATGTAGCGTGGGCGGCGCTCCCGCCGTCGGGGGGGGGGGGGGG